TGGGGTGAGACGGTATCTCAGTGTGCTATTGATTTGGATTTCCCAAATGCTGAGTGATGTTGTGCATTTTTTCATATGTTTGCCATTCGTATATCTTCTTTTGAGAAATGCCTATTTAGCTCTTTTGCCCATTTTTAAATTGGGTTGCTTTTTTTCTTGTAATGTTGTTTCAGTTCCTTTTATATTCTGGATATTAATCCTTTGTCAGATGTATATTTTGCAAATATTTTCTCCCACTCTGTTGGTTGTTTTTTAACTCTGTTAATTGTTTCTTTTGCTGTATGGAAGCTTTTTAGTTTGATATAATCCCATTTATTTATTTTTCCTTTGGTTGCCTATGCTTTTGGGGTCATATTTATGAAGTCTGTGCCCACTCCTACTTCCTGAAGTGTTTCTCCTATGTTTTCTTTAAGAAGTTTTATTGTTTCAGGGTGTATATTTAATTATTTTATCCATTTTGAGTTGATTTTGGTATGTGGTGAGACGTATGGGTCTAGTTTTGTTTCCTGCATAATTATATCCAGTTATCCCAGCACCATTTACTGAAGAGGCAGTCTCTTCCCCACAGTATAGGCTTGGTGCCTTTGTCAAAGATCAGATGGCTGTAGGTGTGTGGGTTGAATTCTGGATTCTCTATTCTATTCCATTGATCAGTGTGTCTGTTTTTATGCCAGTACCATGCTGTTTTGGTTATTATAGCTTTGTAGTATAGTTTAAAGTCAGGTAGTAGTATGCCTCCAGCTTTATTTATTTTTTGCTCAGCATAGCTTTGGCTATGCGTGGTCTTTTGTTATTCCATATAAATGACTGGATAGTGTTTTCCATTTCTGAGANCCTGTTCTTAAAGGAAAAGCTTTCAGCTTTTCCCCATTCAGGATGATATGGGCAGTGGGTTCATCATATATGGCTTTAATTATGTTGACATACTTTCCATATACGCCTAACTCATAGAGGGTCTTTGTCATGAATGAATGTTGAATTTTGTCAAATGCTTTTTCAGCATGTATAGAGATGATCATGTGGTCCTTGTGTTTGTTTTTGGTATATCACATTTATAGATTTACATATGTTGAACCAACCTTGCATCCTTTGGATGAATCCCACTTGATCGTGGTGTATAATTTTAAGTCTGTGTTACTGTATTCTTTTTTTTTTTTTTCCTTTTTGTCTCTTTTTACTGACCGGTAATGGGATCGCAACCCTCGGTGTCGCGCCTGTACCAGGGACCGGCAACGGCATCGCAACCCTCGGTGTTGCGCCTGCACCGCGCTCAGCCAGTGAGTGGGAACCGGTCACCACATGGGATCCGAACCCTCGGCGGGAGCGCCGCTGCGCTCCCAAACGGCGCACTCTCCAGTGCGCCACCAGGCCAGCCCTGTGTTGCTGTATTCTGTTAGCTAGTATTTTATTGAGGATTTTTGCCTCTATGTTCATCAAGGATATCGGCCTGTAGTTTCCTTTTTTAGTTGTATTTTTACCTGCTTTTGGTATCAGGGTGATGTTTGCTTCATAGAATGAGTTTGGGAGATTTGCGTCTGTTTCAATCTTTTGGAATAGTTTGTAAAGAATTGGTGTCAATTCCTCTTTGAATGTTTGGTAAAATTCTGCTGTGAATCCATCTGGTCCTGGGCTTTTCTTTGTTGGGAGCCTTCTGATAACAGCTTCAATCTCTTTTTTTGTTATTGGTCTGTTCAGATTTTCTACATCTTCTTGGCTCAGTTTTGGTAGCCTGTGTGTGTCCAAAAATTTATCCATTTCCTCCAGATTTTCAAATTTGTTGGCATATAGTTGTTTATAGTAGTCTCAAATGATTCCTTGTATTTCAGATGTATCAAGTGTAATATCACCTTTTTCATTTTTCATTTTTTTATTTGTATCTTCTCTCTTCTTTTTTAGTTAGCCATGCTAATGGTTTGTCAATTTTATTTATGTTTTCAAAAAAATAACTTTTTGATTCATTGATCTTTTGTATTGTTTTTTTGGGTTTCAATTTCATTAAGTTCTGCTCTGATCTGAATGATTTCTTTCCATCTGCTAACTTTGGGTTTGGATTGTTCTTGTTTTTCTAGTTCTTTAAGGTGAAGTATTACGTTGTTCACTTGCCATCTTTCCATTCTTCTCAAGTAAGCATTTAATGTGACAAATTTCCCCCTTCATACTGCTTTTGCAGTATCCCACAGGTTTGGGTATGATGTATCATTATTTTCATTCGTTTCAATAAATTTTTTTTTTTTTTTAAAAGATGACCGGTAAGGGGATCTCAACCCTTGGCTTGGTGTTGTCAGCACCACGCTCAGCCAGTGAGCAAACCGGCCATCCCTATATAGGATCCGAACCTGTGGCCTTGGTGTTATCAGCACCGCACTCTACCGAGTGAGCCATGGGCCGGCCTAGTTTCAATAAATTTTTTGATTTCATGTTTGATTTCTTCTTGGTCCCATATGTCATTAAGTAGATTGCTGTTTCATTTCCATGTGTTTGTATAGTTTCCGGAATTTCATTTGTTATTGATTTTTAATTTTAATCCATTGTGGTCTGCAAAAAAATATATGGGATAATTCTAGTTGTTTCAATTTGTTGAGACTTGATTAGTGACCTAACATGTGATCTATCCTGGAGAATGATCCATGTGCTGATGAGAAGAATGAATATTCTGAGGTTGTTGGATGGAATGTTCTGTAGATATCTGCCATGTCCAGTTGGTCTAGAGTGTTGGTTAGATCTTGTGTTTCTCTGCTGATTCTTTGCCTGGATGATCTGTCCAATATTGACAGTGGGGTGTTCAGGTCCCCTGCTATTATGGTATTAGTTTCTATTTCCTTCTTTAGGTCTAAATATAGTTTGTTTTATAAATCTGGCTGCTCCAAAATTGGGTGCGTATATATTTATGACTGTTACGTCTTCTTGAAGGATGAATCCTTTTATCATTATGCAGTGACCCTCATTATCTCTTTTTATGGTTTTTAGCTTAAAGTCTATTTTATCAGATATAAGAGTAGCTACTCCAGCTCATTTTTCATTTCTGTTTGCATGGTAAATCTTTTTCCAACCTTTCACTCTTAGTCTATATGAGTCTTTATGGGTGATGTGGGTCTTTTGAAAGCAGCATATAGTTGGGTACTCCTTTTTAATCCAGTCAGCCAGTGTGTGTCTTTTGATTGGGGAATTTAAGCCTTTTATATTAATAGTTGTTATTGAAAAGTGTTGATTTAATACTAGCATTTTATTGATTTTTTTTGGATGTCTTAGGTGTCTTTTGTTCCTTTCTTTCTGATTTACTGTTTGTTTTCTGTATTTGTTGGTTCCTTGGGTTGTATATAAACTTTTTTTCTTTTCATTGTTGGCATTTTTATTTTACTAATGGGTTTTTTTTTCCTTTTTGTCTTTTTTTACTGACCGGTAACGGGATCGCAACCCTTGGTGTCACGCCCGTACCGGGGACTGGCAACGGGATCGAAACCCTTGGTGTTGCGCCCACACCATGCTCAGCTAGTGAGCAGGAACCGGTTGCCACATGGGATCCGA